TGGCTTTTCCATTTATTGTCAGATTATCTCTGCCCAGTGTCCTGTGTGCGTGCTTTTCTATATACTTAGTCCTGGGGCAGGGCAGAGTAGCCATCTAAGCAAATAAATAACCTTAAATTAAGGATTATGCATGGTGGGTTTCTCTCCTACTGTAGGCTGCTGAAGAAATAAACACTCCTGAGGCCCTCTCAGATGCCGCCTAGAAGACGATAATGAAGAGTGAAATTGCGCGGGGCCCCGAAACTATTTTAAATGGGCAAAATCCAGCTCTTTCAGACTTCAAGAAACCTAATCGTCCTCTTTGATCTGAGCGGTGCACGTTGCCTGTAATTGCACCCATTGACTTACCACAAAACCTTCCCTCTGTTGAAATATACACAGGTATTCCTTGCGTTGGAATACAATGACCACCTTGTTCCTGGAGGCTTTGACCAGGGCTGCGCAGATGGTCCTGGGGTGTTTAGGTGGCACGGGAGGAGGTGGTGGAGGAGGCAAGCAGAGGCTTAGCAAGTCTTTGTGTCCCGAGTCTCAGCTGCCTTTCAGAAAAGCTGCCCCGGTTTTTCTCCCTTTCAAGGAGACGTTTCCATTCAGCCCTAGCTTTGGGTCTGCAAATTATAGGAGGCGGGGCTGGTGGCAATGCTATGATTTTCTGACGCCGCCGTCCATGCCCATGTCTCTCTCGCCTCCCATTATTCCTGTGGCTGGGTATTTACTTGCAGATCTCCAATGCTCTTGCTGTGGGGAGGGTTTAATTACACTTACTGGAAGGCAGAGCTCTTCTGAAGGATGGGACCTTCTCTCTCTTTTTTTTTTTTTTAGGAAAAAAGGGCCAGTCTGGTGCCAATCCTCACCACCAGTTCCTTCTTGGGCAGCTGCATCAGGATCTGGCAGGATGGACGTGGCAAGAAGCTGGGGAACATTGCATGGATGCAGTCGAGTTACGTTTCTAGATTGCTTCCTCAGTATTCCAGCGTGACCAAGTTTACCGGTCTAGAGGGATGAGAGACAAAGCATCACCAAAGGAGATGGAAACTAAGAGGTCTCTCCAGACATGCGACACCACATGGACAGACCTGTTGACGTCAACATCAACAATTAGACCTTTTCCAGCATAAGCCTGGTCTTCTGTGCCTCAAGTGAGAACATTGATTTGTTCCACGATCCCTGTATTGTAGGTAGAGCTTTTCATTTCTGCAAATAAATTGGGAGTCACATGGGCTACCAAGCTAGCTCTTTGTGTGAGCAGGTATGTCTTAGGAAAGACTGCCAACTCACATCTGCTGGAGAATTGCAAACATGGTCACACCTGGCATAACAATTTTGTATGCATGCAATCAAAAAATGTCCCTGTTGCATTTAATATCATGGGATTCTAAGCTGAGCTGAGGGTCAACCTCAGGGAGTTGCTACAAATAGTAGCATGCTCAAGGCCAACAGGAAACCTCTTCGTTCCTTCCGTTTCTCCAAATTCAGTCAAATGCGGACTTAAGACACCAGGTCCATGAATTCCACGGTGAACGGAGCAGGCTGATCACAAATGCAACAAATGCTTTAAAACATTCGGACGCCAAGCTGACACCTTCATGTTGACATCAAATGCAACTCTCATGTTTGATCAGGCTGTGACATGAAGCAAAGCGAGCTCACGGGGAGTGGGGGTGGGCAAAATGGGAAAAAACCATAACCGAGATGAATGCATGGAGGGCGTCTGGTCTTTCACTGCAGCTGCAACTTAATTCCTTGTTTTCATGTAGCACTCAATGAAATAATAGGATTGGCCATTGAGTTGCAACGGGAGACAAAATCCCATTTGCTCTGCAAAGCAGTTTATCATCATGAAAAAAGGAGAAGGGGTATTTTAAGGGGGGGGAGCAGATAGAGCCATGACATTATTGCTCATTTCAGGGGCTTTGTTTGATATGGGCACAGCCAGGGATAATTTCCAAAGTATTAACCTTTGAGCAGAGCACAGGGGTGTTTGCCGTCTCTGGCCCCAAACAATGGGAGCCTTGTTTCTAGGGGCTGTCCGCCAATGCCAGAGTCCAGATGCGTGTCCAGCGTCTGCCCCAGCTGGCTGATTTGGCCCCATGGCAGCTGCAGAATGAGCGCCGGCAATTAGCTGGCATCTGCTGCACCACGTTCACCAACCCCATGCCTGGCGAGTCAACGGCCATAAAATCGCTCTCAGCAGAAGGGGAGAGGAAAGGGGAGAGGTTAGGAAGGTGCTCCAGACCAGGCACTACACCTGAGAAGCAGAATAATCTGCTGGCCTTTGATGAAAACAAATCAAAGTCCTGAGAGTGCACAGTAAAATCCTGTTCTGGAATGCAGCTGCAACTTAACGGTAACCATTCCAGAGGTTCAGTGGTTCATTCCAGAAGTTCATTCCATTTCATTTCATTGTTTCAGAAGTTCATTCCAGAAGTTGTGGGTGCTTCAGCATTGGAGGCTTTTAAGAAGAGACTGGATAGCTACTTGTCTGAAATGGCATAGGGTCTCCTGTTTAAGCGGGGGTGGGACTAGAAGACCTCCAACTCGGTTATTCTGTTCTGTTATTCTGTTAAAAGGGCAACCTCAACGTCACACAGGCAATAAAAAGTAGTAGCACTGAGCAGAACCTGCCATCCACAGAGCCAAAGCTTGAGTGAAATGTAGCCCAGAGCCACTAAACAATTCTGGGATTCATGCAGCCAAATTCTTCCAGACCTAGAAGACAAGGCTTTCCCCACCATGGACTGGCTGGATGCAGGGCCCAGGGGCCACAGCCTCTCTGTCTAATACTAAAGATGCAGACAGTTGTCCTCCTTAGTCTATGGGCTCATGAAGAAAGGGAAGTTCTGCAGATATTCTCTCTTTGCTTTGTGTCTTTGGTAATAGGCACTAAGGGCAGTCAGTTGGTCTAGGACAGTGATGGCGAACCTTTTAGAGACTGAGTGCCCAAACTGCAACCCAAAACCCACTTATGCATCGTCGGGTGCTGGGTGGGTGTGGCCCATTGGCTGGGCATGGCCCATTGGGTGGGTGTGGCTGCGGTGGTAATGCCAGACTGGGTGGGACTAAAAAGTTCAATCAATCAATTCCAACTTTCCAAGATCTTTTTTTTCCCGTGAGAAGTTGAAATTGACTGATTGATTGAACCGTTTTTGGGGTTTTTTTGCACATGGTGGCAGAGGCCTAAAGCGAAAAGGTTTTATAAAACTCAGCTGAAGGCCTAGGACTGGGGTGACGGCGCGCGTGCCCACAGAGAGGGCTCTGAGTGCCGCCTCTGGCACCCGTGCCATAGGTTCGCCACCAGTGGTCTAGGACAGTGTTTTTCAAACTTTTCAATCTTCAACTCCCAGAATTCCCCAGCCAGCCTGCTTTAAGATGGGTGGACTTCATCTCCCATAATTCTCCAGTCAGCGAGTTGAAGTCCATCCATCTTAAGTTATCAAGGTTGAAAAACAATGATCTAAGAAAAAAAGACAAGAAGGGGCCTCCCTGATTTCTGAATATGCCAAGTGGCTTTGAATGTCTTCATAAGTTGCAGGAGAGCTTCGACAGAGGAAGCGCGTGGTGTTCTCAGAAGCAGAAACTTGGGCTTGCACAACTGGTTATGGGGTGGGCCCAGGCCTTGTTTTTTAATGCAAAACCTAAAACCAATTTGGTGGGCAGCATATTCTCAGGATTTTTTTTAAAAAAATAAAGTGGTTTCAATTTCTCAAAGTCCTTTTTGAATTCATCATTCACTCAGGTTCAGTGTCTGTAACCAGGCTGAGGTGGCCATCAAAGTCAGGAGAGCTGCTATGCTTGGGGTCTTGGTCAAAAGCCAACACACCCTGAAACGGACAAACTGAGTTTGCGTTCAATTAATGAATGCAATGATAGTGAGTGAAACTCAGCAGAATTTTGGATAAGTGGGTGAACTGGACAGGTTTACGTGGTTTCAGAGCAAAGCTCCATCTGATATTTTATGCGTTTGCTTCACTACTTCTACAGGGGGTCCCTTTCCCCCCACAATTTGATGAGGCATTCCTAAATTGCGAGTGTCATCTTTGCATTTCAGATCTGGACTCAGATCCAAGCTGGAGATGTAGACCTGCAGAACTGTCCTCTTGGTGAAAGTTGACTGCCTTGTCTTGAATTTGACCATTCCTTAGTCCATAAACCAGCCTTCCCAGAGGGTGGCCTTCCATGAGCAAGCTGGCTGGGAGCGATGGGAAGGGGTATCCAGCCTGGGCAGAGAGTACTGGATTGGGGAACCCTTGGGAGGGTTCTTTTCCTCTGGCCACCTCCTGTTTTGCACCGTCATGGCCAGAAGGAAATCTCATGTCGATCTTGAGTTAATGCAAGGCAAAGACAAATCTTGAATTCTTGGCCCTCTTTTGGGTCCGGCAGGAAAAAAAAGCCATGCCTTCTTCATCTAGGGAAATGTGCAAACAGGGATCCTGCAGCTGTGATTGGCTTGGCCTGAGCCAATCAGCTCCTTCCTTTCGTTTGACTTGCTCTCCGTCTCCTGCCAAAGTCAAATTCACAGCCACTTCGGTGGCTGCTTCCTGCTTTGCCTCTCTGCTCCCGGGTCTCCTCCCTGGCAGAGCTGGCTTCAGGGCAGGCAGCGTCTCCCTGGGCTGCTAACCTGATCAGCCCAGGATGCAGCCTCTCCGTGGTGACATCACGGCCAGATGTTTGGCAGGGCCACACCCCCAGGGGGGTTTGAAGGAGCTCTAACAGGCTGGCTCACTTCTGCCGCCAGCATGCAGGGGAAGGGCTGCCGGAGGTGCAGCGGGCTTGCGATGGAGACAGCCTCTTTCCACGGCCAGCTGTTCTGCAGGGGGTTTGCCTTTCTTGACGTTCTCACTGGATGCCTTTCCTCTTGAGAAAGAGGGCAACGGGGTGTGACTTCTTGTGAAAGCTGCTCTCTTCTCTTCTGCAAGGAAGGTGCCCCTGCTGAGCGTCTAGAGGTGTTTTTTTGTTGGTGGAAAAGAGCGGAGTGGATTTGTGCACCCCGAGAGGTGTGAAAAATGGCCACAGCTGCCTACTTTGCCGCCGAGTGCCTTGTCTCCATGTCCAGCCGGGCGATCATCCATGGTCCTGCTGAAGGACCAAGACTTCCACCTGTTGGGATGGCTTCTGCCCTCACGGACTTGACTCCCAAGGAGAAACCTGAAGGGAAGGAGGCAGGAAGAGACAATGGAGGGGGCACCTCAGTGTACGCCGTGGCCAGCATCTTGGCTGACTTAAACCAACATCTTCCAAAGTCTTCCTCGCTTCAGCTGGAGAAGGGTCAGAGAATGGAGCGAAAGGAGGAAGGCAAACCCCCTCTTCCGCAGGGAGCGCTTGGCCAAGACCAGATCCTGCCAGCCAGCAAGTGTGGAGGAGAAAGAGCAGCCACACCTACCAACTTGGCGGCAGTCAATGAGCCCAGCCCGAAACAAAGGAGCAGGAGAGGACGGTGCCAGCTTGACCCTGAATTACCTCAGAAAAAACACAAATGCCACTATGTGGGATGTGAAAAGGTTTACGGCAAGTCTTCTCATCTGAAAGCTCACCTGAGGACCCACACAGGTGAGCTCTCTGCTTGGTGGTGGTGGTGGAGGAGGAGGAGGGGGAGGAACTGATGGACCTCTGGACTTCTAAAACTGAAGTCTACAGAGGTTGAGGAGAGCCCTTGAGAACTTCAGGCTTATGTAGACCCCACTGCTGGGGTTGCCATTCCTTAATCTGCGTTCCCCAATGCCGGTTGGGATTTGTTATCTGTCCTTCTCTTTTTCTTTCTTCTCCTTCCTCTGGCCTGGTTCTCACCTGATGGCCAGTTCAAGACCTTCTTCTGACCTCTGGCCGTCTGACCCAGCAGAGCAGTTCTTTCGGCGGTTGCCAGTGCCCGGTTTTTGTGAGACAACAACGTGCATGAGTTATTTGGGGGCTCTCTGCATTGGGTACTATCCACCTAACTCTTGCTAGCCTACTCCTGATGTTCTCTGTTACACCCATTATGAACATAATTTCAACTTTTTCTTCATTTCTCCCTGTTGGATACTGTGCAGTCTCACAGAGGTGGGAGGGGAGAACTCCCAGAACCCTGTAATTGACTCTATCAAGTCAATTTTAATGCTAGAAAATATAAACGGGGCAGCTCCTGTTCATAGTTAAACCAGGACAGGGACTTCTTCTCCCTACTTTGAGGTTGGAATGCCGGGAAGCACCGTCAGCCTGTATTTCCCCCCTCCCCCCCCCCCCCCGCTCAAAAGTTGCTGCTGGTTTTCGATATGTGCCTCCCGTGGGCTCTGCCTTGGTTTGTTCACCTCAGTTATTTGGTGGAACAACTTTGCCTAGTTCAGGGGGTGCCACCCAAGGAGTTGGGCAACCAGGAGTGGGGGAAACGCCTCCTTCACCTATTTTGGGACACCACCCAGTCAGAAGATGGTCTGTGGAATATCTGGAGTTTTGTGGGCTTAGCAGAGATATTTCTGTTTGGATAAGAATTACTGTATGTTCCATGGCAGATGTGTTTTCTGTCCCTTATGCTCTGCTCTGCTTAAATGCATCTTCCTTCCTTCCTTCCTTCCTTCCTTCCTTCCTTCCTTCCTTCCTTCCTTCCTTCCTTCCTTCTCTTTTTATCTTCTCTTTATCTTTCTTTCCTTCCTCCCTCCCTTTTCCCATTCTCATCTTCCTTCCTTTCTTCCTCTTTCAGCCTCCCTCCCCTCCTTTCTTTCTTTCTTTCTTTCTTTCTTTCTTTCTTTCTTTCTTTCTTTCTCTTTCTTTCTTTCTTTCTTTCTTACTTTCTCTCTCTCCCTCTCTCTCTCTCTCTCTTTCTTTCTTTCTTTCTTTCTTTCTTTCTTTCTTTCTTTCTTTCTTTCTTTCTTTCTTTCTTTCTTTCTTTCTTTCTTTCTTTCTTTCTTCCTAAGGCAAGAGAAGGTCATTGCCTCAAAATAGGACCCTTTCTGCTCTCCGGTCCCTTCTTGATTTACTGCATCCTGTAGTGATATCCTGCAGAATCTAACCTACCCCTGTAAATCAAGGCTACATTTGGGGACGCTTCCTTGCAAGGAGACCTCTAGGCTATATATGTATATTTTAAGAAAAGAAAAGAAAACCCTGACCAAAGGCCAAGCATATCCTCCAGCAAGGACTCCTGGGTCTGACGCGATCTCTACCGAATGACGCTGGCCTGGCTGAGCGGTGCCACTTTCCAGGAAGGGCTGTTTTTCTTGTTTGCATTGTGTTTTCATCACCCTCCCTAACCGTAGCTTTCATCTGGAGGGAAGTTCGCCCAGCCCGCCCCCCTTGCCACTCCGAGTTGGCAGAGTGTCCTCAAATCACGCCTTGTTCTGCTCCTGCCTGAACTTCTCTTCTGCTTCCTTTTAGACAAAGAGGGTTGCAGCTCGTAAACCCGGTCGAAGGGGGGGGGGAGAACTCCTCTCTTTGAAAACGAGGAGAGCCTCTCTGGCAGCTGGTGCCCCGGGGAGAGGGAGGGTCGGACCCAACCAGTTCATGTCATTCAGAAGCCAGTTGGAGACAGGGAAGTCAAATAGGGTCACTGGCTTTTAGCCACGTTCTTCTCTTTGTGACTGCCGCTTGAAAGAGGTAGACCCTCTCCTTTGGCATGTAGCTCAGCCAGAGATGGTTGGGCTGACTTTGCTGTCAAAGTGCAAGAAATAAGCAAAATCAGGGCAAAAGGCAAAAGAAAGGGCACCGTCCCTCTAAGGCAGGGGTCTGCAACCTTGGCAGCTTTAAGACTTGTGGACTTCAGCTCCCAGAATTCCTCAGCCAGCTGTGCTGGCTGAGGAATTCTGGGAGATGAAGTCCACAAGTCGTAAAGTTGTCAAGGTTGCAGACCCCCCTGCTCTAAACCATATTCAGCTATTCTACAATTCATGGCATATCACCTTCCATATTGAGCTCTTCCTATGAGTGGAGACTTCTCCAAAGGAATGCTACTATTTATTTATGTAGGTTTTTTTTTTCATTTAGTTGACATATTTGAAACTTGCTTATGCTCCCCAAGTTTGAAGAGTGCTCAGCAATTCAACAGTTTTAGTTAAAATATAAACATGTTGAGCAGAATCAGCACGGAAGAGGTATTTAAAATCTCTGGTGGTTTTTTTTTTTTTAATGGAACTATGCTTAACAAACAATATCAGGTTTTGGACATGGATCACCGTAAATCCAAGAGGTATAGAGGGGGAAAAAACAGATATAGGAAGGGCAAAAAATGTAAATGAAGAGACAGGTACAATCAGAGGAGGAGAAATGGGGAAATTAAATCTATAATTCTAATAAATTCTCCCCTCCTCCTCCTCCTTTTTTCTCTCCTTTTCTTTCTTTCTTTCTTTCTTTCTTTCTTTCTTTCTTTTTTCTTTCCTTCCTTCCTTCCTTCCTTCCTTCTTTCCTTCCCTTGTATTATGACATTTCATTGTTGTCTATCATGAGTAGAGAGTGTTGTTTCCTAAACAACTTTCTGCTGTAGTAAATACAGAACCTGTGGGATTGCAAACAAACCAACACTATGCGAAACAAAACAAAAATGACAACTTTTCTCCTAAAATCGGAGAGAGGACTGCCTGACTAGGACCAGCTAGATTCTAACTGAAATCCTCTTTGAGAATGACATGTTTTGAGAAAACGTGCAGGCTTCGTTCAGACATCAATCTGAGCTTTGGTCCTTTTGCGTGAATCGAGGCCACGTGCTGGAGGTTTCCCCGAATGCACTTAGCAATGATGTAATAAGGGCACAAATGTTGACTTAACCCGAGGCTTGTTCTAGGGTTCTTGAAATAGGCACCTGCTGTTCTCCCTGAATCCCTGAGCTGCCTATTGATTTCTGCTGATCTGATCTAGTGTGTGCTGCAGCCGATGCTATCCAGGCTGCATTAACAGAGGGATCACATGAAGTGTTAGTACCGCTTTATAAGGCCTTGGTAAGGCCACACTTGGAATACGGCATCCAGTTTTGGTCACCACGATGTAAAAAAGATATTGAGACTCTAGAAAGAGTACAGAGAAGAGCAACAAAGATGATTAGTGGAGTCTAAAACATACGAAGAACGGTTGTATGTCTAGCTTAATGAAAAGAAGGACTGGGGGTGATTTGATAGCAGTGTTCCAATATCTAAGGGGCTGCCACAAAGAAGAGGGGGTCAACTTATTCTCCAAAGCACCCGAAGGCAGGACAAGAAGCAACAGATAGAAACTAAGCAAGGAGAGAAGCAACCTAGAACTAAGGAGAAATTTCCTGACAACAGGAACAATTAACCAGTGGAACTCCTTGCCTCCAGAAGTTGTGAATGCTCCAACACTGGAAGCTTTTAAGAAGAGACTGACATAGCCACTTGTCTGAAATGGAATAGGGTTTTCCTGCTTGAGCAGGTGGTTGGACTAGAAGACCTCCAAGGTGCCTTCCAACTTTGTTATTCTATTGTCTTTCTGTCCTCATGTAAACAAAGCTGGGACAGTACAGGATAGGCACAGAGTGTGCAGTACTTTAACAGCCAGTTGAAAGTTAAAAGGATCCCTTCAGGCTTAGAAAGAGGTCTCATGTTATGATTGATGATGGCCAGACTGACCTGGAAGACAGACCTTCGACTTGCTAGACAGCTCTGCTTCCTCTCCACCCTCTTTTCTTTTCTCTCCATTCGGTGCTCATAAAATTGTTTTGTTGCAACAAGAACAAAGAAACCTAAACCACATATGAAAAGCAGAAAAAAATAGATCATAGGAAGAATGAAACTGAAACTCTGCTGAAAGTATCAAGGGGCACAGAGAGCAAACAAAATAAAAAAAAAACCCTGAAATCATAAAGCATGCACAAGATCAGCTTTCATTTGCAAGAAAAAAAAAACCAGGGTTCTCGTTTTACAGAGAGAATGATATGTCACAAAGTAGATCTGGGGTCTCTGCTGAAACCTCCAAAGTGGCTTTCAATAGCTATATTTTGCCCCCTTGGCTGCGTTTATTCTCAACAATGTGTGCAAGTTCAAAGCAGATTTACTGGGCATACAATTGTTGTTGTTATGTTTAGCAGATCTTGGGGTCTATCCTGTCCCAGCATTCTGTTGAGAAGATGGCCTTGACAAGTTCATGGAATATTTAACACAGTGGTGTCCAAGCTTGGTAACTTGAAGGCTTATGGACTTCAACTCCCAGAATTCATGCTGGGGAACTCTGGGAGTTGAAGTCCAGAAGTTTTCAAGTTGCCAAGCTGATCTAAGATCCCTGATCTAAGACCTTCAAACTTTTTCAGTGCTGATCCAGACCAAAACATATACTGATACAGGTCTGGTATGTTTTATTTCTGGGTGGTTTTCATCACTAGGTGTACTCTGACAGCAATAATCAAAAGAAAGAAAGAATAAAGTCCGGTCCAAGGGAGCAACCAAATTCTCCCTGAAAAGAATTGCCTGCTTCTCCCTCTTTAAATATGTTTTTTTTGCAGGTGGACATTTTAAAACACAAGAGAACTAAAATACGATTCCATCTTGGAACAATATAAGTCACCAGAGCAGGCAGGAATTAAGGACATTTTGTCAGTGGCCCTTTATTTATTAATTTAATTTTTATTTGGTCCA